GAGTACGATCTAAAATAGTTCAAGTTGTGCCCAACACTTAAGGCAAGTGGAAGAGGGAGCCACGCTGTCCCCCCCCTCCCATCCCCCCTGGAAGGGGCCGTCTCCCCCTCCCCCCCCCCACCCCTGGGGGTCTTCTCCCCCACCACACCCCCTGGTCGCTACCTCGCTGTACACACTGGTCATGTAGACTATTTTGGTCAGCATCTGAATAATATTTTTAGCCTCGTGGTCCCTCCCTGACAATGGTAAATATATCAAGGTCTTCCTCGGAGGTCACACTTGGTCTCTGGACAAGGCTGAGTGCCACCTGCCAGGGGCCAGATTCACGAAGCAGTTACGCAAGCACTTACGAACCTGTCCATCTTTTCTCAATCTTTGGCGGCTTTGTTTACAATTATTAAACAGTTAATGAGCTCCGAAGCACCAGGAGGCTGTTTATAACAATAACAACAGTTGATTGGCAAGTTTTCATGTTTGTAAACTGTTTAATAAATGTAACCAAAGCCGTCAAAGATTGAGAAAAGATGTACAGGTTCGTAAGTGCTTGCGTAACTGCTTCGTGAATCTGGCCCCAAATGCCCATAGATGGAGACGTGTGACAGTGGGACTCGTATAGAACAGTGATGTGTACTCTACAGCACTATGTACTCTACAGCAATGCGTACTCTACAACAATATGTACTCTACCTGCGCTGTGATGAGACCATTTTGTCTAAGCTTGCTGGAGAGCGGAGGTCTAGAGGAAGTAGCAGAGCGCCCCAGCTTGTGTAAAGAGGAGTCCTTGTGGTGTGCAGGGCTCTGTGGATACAACAAGCAAGGCTACAGAAACATACAATACAATACAAGCACCTAGCACCCCCTCTACAGGTCACTCTTGCTGTATTCTACACATAAGATTACAAAATACATCTTTTAAGATCTAAGGTATTGATCAGCAGAAAGCATCAAGATATTATGATTGTGTAGCACTTGGAAGGGATACGAGGAAAAGGATTTAGGATTGGACGGAGGAGATGGTGCCCAATCACTTAGACGGTCGGGGATTGAACGCCGACCTGCATGAAGCGAGACCGTCGCTCTACCGTCCAGCCCAAGTGGTTGGGAAGAATATATATATTCTTACAGCACTAAGTGAACTTAATATATAATAATATAAACAATTAAGGCGGTATAATGACATACTTGGAATGCTTCTGTATAGAAACCTAAACAGTTTTAACTATTGCAAGCAGTGAAGGAAGCAGTAAACAACAGAACCTGTCGCAGTAACATAGTTAATGGAGACTCAAAAGTGAAGGGACGACGACGTTTCGGTCCGTCCTGGACCATTCTCAAGTCGATTTGAGAATGGTACAGGACGGAGCGAAACGTCGTCGTCCCTTCACCTTCTAGTGTGTGGTCTGGTCAACATCAGCCACGTTATTGTGACTCCTCGCCTGCAATGATATATTCATAGGCACTAGTGTAGAGGGTAACAAAGCGGCCTCCAATAGTTCCACGACACATTAAAAGTTCCCACACAGTCTGGTATATGCAAGGAGAGAGCCGCCTCTTGCATAGATCACTAGGAATTTCAGGAGCGCTCTCTGTCTCTGTCTGTGTGTCTCAGTCTCTCTCTCTCCCTCCCTCCCCACATCATGTAGTGACAGGGCAAGAGGCCATGTGAAGATATGGTACCTTATATGGTGCCTAATATGGCTTATATGATGCCTTATACAGCTTATATGGTACCTTATATGGTTTCGAAAAGTTTGAGAAGCAGATCCAGATCAACACGAGGCGGAACAACACAGGTGGATGGAACAATGAGAGAGTACTATACAGTAGCCCTTCGTGGGAGATGGTTAGTAACTGAGACAAGTCAAAAGGTGTTTGGTCAATTGGCATACAATCTTAACGGGTTTGTTATCGTTAACCAAGTCCGTCTAGCTTGGGTGTTTAGCCTTGGACTGTTACAGGCAGTGTGTGTTTTGTATATACAGCCAGCGGGCCCACGGGCCCCCCAAGACCCAAGGGTCTTAGACCCAAGACCCAAGGGTCTTAGACCCAAGACCCAAGGGTCTTAGACCCAAGACCCAAGGGTCTTAGACCCAAGACCCAAGGGTCTTAGACCCAAGACCCAAGGGTCTTAGACCCAAGACCCAAGGGTCTTAGACCCAAGACCCAAGGGTCTTAGACCCAAGACCCAAGGGTCTTAGACCCAAGACCCAAGGGTCTTAGACCCAAGACCCAAGGGTCTTAGACCCAAGACCCAAGGGTCTTAGACCCAAGACCCAAGGGTCTTAGACCCAAGACCCAAGGGTCTTAGACCCAAGACCCAAGGGTCTTAGACCCAAGACCCAAGGGTCTTAGACCCAAGACCCAAGGGTCTTAGACCCAAGACCCAAGGGTCTTAGACCCAAGACCCAAGGGTCTTAAACCCAAGGGTCTTACACCCAAGACCCAAGGGTCTTAGACCCAAGGGTCTTACACCCAAGACCCAAGGGTCTTAGACCCAAGGGTCTTACACCCAAGACCCAAGGGTCTTAGACCCAAGACCCAAGGGGCTCCAAGACCTAAAGGCCTAAGACCAAGTCCCACGGGCCCCAAGACCCAAGGGTCTTACACCAAGACCCAAGGGTCTTAGACCAAGACCCAAGGGTCTTAGACCAAGACCCAAGGGTCTAAGACCAAGACCCAAGGGTCTAAGACCAAGACCCAAGGGTCTTCGACCAAGACCCAAGGGGCTCCAAGACCTAAAGGCCTAAGACCAAGTCCCACGGGCCCCAAGACCCAAGGGGCCCCAAAACCCAAGGGCCTCAAGACCCAAGGGCCTAAGACCCAAGGGCCTAAGACCCAAGGGCCTAAGACCAAGTCCCACGGGCCAGCAGGCACATTAGCGTCCACCCACATTTGCACAGGCTATATGAAGCGGTGTACAGCGCGTTAACAACTAGCTATGTGCTGCTAAACATCCATCTCGCACGATAGTTTATCATACAGGTCCATGTGTTCAAATAGGATTTTTTATATTAGCATATTTAGGTACATGTGCATTTGTGCAGCTGCCCTAGACTATATGAAGGGGAGTACAGTGTGTCAAAAAGCTAGCTACGTGGTGCTAAAAATTCCCATCACACAGGATGGTTAGTCATACAGAGGCATGTGAGAAGTAGTCTGCACTGGCTAACTATCGCTGTAGTATATAAAGAAACACGAGTGAATTAAGTCATTTCAAAGCGTCAGAGGTACCTCACCGTTTGAATGGTCTGATAACTTGGTATTCGGTGATGTAGTGTGCTAGTATGATTTGTTCAGATTTGAAACCTATGTTTATGGGCAGGATAAAACGTAGACCAGACTGTGCGACACAGTGGTTGCCAGGCTCAGGTTGGGTTACTGTTACCTGTGGCAGGTAGCTACTGTTACCTGTGGCAGGTGGCTACAGGTGACGGATCTCCCAATCCTGAGCACTCCAGGTGCAAACTCTGTGAGCAGGATCAGAAAAGGAATATATTAAAATGAAGTCAAAAGTCTACGATTCCACGCTGCCACATTTCAATAACTAGGAGAGGTCACTTGAGATTACAAATTGGTACACTGCGAAGGTTTAACATGTAGGTAATCAACTTAACCCCTGACGTACTCTGTGAGCTCTACCTGCTTGATGCCTGGTTGATGGCGTTCTGGGAGTTCTTCTACTGCCCAAGCCCGGCCCGAGGCCAGGCTTGACTTGTGAGAGTTTGGTCCACCAGGCTGTTGCTTGGAGCGGCCCGCAGGCCCACATATACCTGGTTGGTGGGGTTCTGGGAGTTGTTCTACTCCCCAAGCCCGGCCCGAGGCCAGGCTCGACTTGTGAGAGTTTGGTCCACCAGGCTGTTGCTTGGAGCGGCCCGCAGGCCCACATATACCTGGTTGATGGGGTTCTGGGAGTTGTTCTACTCCCCAAGCCCGGCCCGAGGCCAGGCTTGACTTGTAAGAGTTTGGTCCACCAGGCTGTTGCTTGGAGCGGCCCGCAGGCCCACATATACCTGGTTGATGGGGTTCTGGGAGTTGTTCTACTCCCCAAGCCCGGCCCGAGGCCAGGCTTGACTTGTGAGAGTTTGGTCCACCAGGCTGTTGCTGGGAGCGGCCCGCAGGCCCACATACCCACCACAGCCTGGTTGGTCCTTCCCTTTTTATAGAAACTTTTTCCAGCTCTACAAGACGTCGCCGACGGCCACCATTAGACGTCAGTTCTTAACACGTCAGTGGAGACGTTTTGGCCCTCCTCTCAACTGATGTGACGTTAGTCTCACTATACTGCGTTATAATCCTCGTTTTCTGTGCATTGTTTAGTTAGGTTAGGTGGGTGGCTTGGGTTGCTGCGTTTATGGTTAGGTTAGCACATTGTATTTCGGACGTTGTAACACATATAGAGAACGGGGATACCTTACCTTGAGGTTACCATCAGGTGCTTCCGGGGCTTAGCGTCCCCGCGGCCCGGTCGTCGACCAGGCCTCCTGGTTACTGGACTGATCAACCAGGCTGTTGGACGAGGCTGTTCGCATACCTCGGTGGTGGCTGAATATAACCTCGTCCCTGCATCTAATACATCGCATTTATTTACGGTATCGACCAGTACACTCAAAATACGACGTATTAGCACTACTGATAATTTTATGCACCAGCTTCCATAAGACTCGACAACTTAAAGCTGACCAACTCCCTTATCGTCTCCAGACACGATATCCAAGTCTTACTTTATGATAATCTTGAATACATTTATCCAATGTAACCAGGACCATTTGTAATGTTATCCAGCTGATAACTAAATTATTTCTATCTACCGAGAGATACAGTCACGGCCACTTCGACGAGTAATTCAACACTGATGTGCCTGCCACTTGTATTGGTCGGTTCAGCGACGACCTCACTTCGTGCAGGTCGGGGTTCGATCCTCGATGGTTCTAGTGGTTTGCCATAGTTCCTTCAATCCGTCCTGTTTCAGTTTCTTGTCGCCGCATGTTTTCCAACTGTTTGCTACCTAGGCACAAGAACCTGTGAGAGCAGGATCTCTCAGTTTCTCACAGCTGACTTTAAGACAGACACAGAGTCTCAAGAGTCTCTCAAGAGTCTCACAAGAGTCCCACAAGACAGACACAGAGGCTGCAGGCGATGAGTCACAATAACGTGGCTGAAGAATGCTGACCAGACCACACACTAGAAGGTGTAGGGACGACGACGGCGTTTCGGTCCGTCCTGGACCATTCTCAAGTAGATTGTGAGAACCATGGACCATTCTCACAAGCGACTTGAGAATAGTCCAGGACGGACCGAAACGTCGTCGTCGTCGTCGTCCCTTCACCTTCTAGTGTGTAGTCTGGTCAACATAGTCTCTCTCAAGACTCTCCAAAGACTCCCAAGAGTCTCACAATACTTCAAGACAACACAGCATGTGCACTTGAGAAGCAACCCTCCTGCACTCACACTGAACAAAGTCTCTCAACTCTTATTACTGAACTAACGTCATGCTTGTTTGGTCTCTAAGGAGAGACCAATTGGTCTCATTCGGTGATGAGAATGAGACCAATTGGGTCTCATTGATGAGAATGAGACCAATTTGCTCATTGAGCAAACACAAGAGTCCTGTGTTTGTTCAATAAGGTCATGGCTAGAGAAGAACAATTCCATTGCTAGAAGCCACGTACCAGGCATCGGCCATCTTGGAAAAGTGCTAATGGCAGTATTTTGCCTTGAGTATCACAGGGAGAGATTCCGGTTACGTCAATCTCGACGATCGACGCAGCATCGATGACGTACTTATGGCGTCACGATCC